CTAAGCAGTTCATGATGAAAACTACCTCACGAATTAGAACTCTCTCTTCCCTCAGGTGCCAAGTAAACTTCGTCCCCTCGAGTCCCTCACTGCACTGGTACAATGCATAATGGCATCAATGATTGTTCTAGTGCGGAACATTATAAATACGCTAGCACATTACCCTATTTTGCATGTTAAGAAGTAAATGACATGAGGAATTAGAGTGGTTTCCAGGCGCGCAATGGTTTTCCAACGATATGTAGAGCATCTCTCGGTACCCGTCACCTATCTGAAAGGAGAAATGCATGGCTCAACTCAGTACAATATTCGGAGCTGTGCTAGTTATGAATTGATTAGTCTTCCCATTTCCTTTCATCACGAGCCCCGCCTGTGATCATCAGTTACAAATGTCAACGCCAGTAGAACTAGGCGTGGGTGTACTGTAATCGCTTGCGGTACGCAATTGCACCGGCGCAGGGTGGGATATATACGTAACATCGTTGTCACTAGGGTGCTCTTCCGTCTGGATGTCGCAGAGTATTGACGGCCGAATCAGCTGTTTTCAGCATTATTCCGTTTCAAACTAGTATTCTGCCACTCCGCCAGGCTTCCTTCAACAGAGGTGAGTTATTCCTATCTAAGATAATGTTGTTTTACAATCATATAGCGTGGTTGTTTCACAGTTCTTTATGTTTTCGTGGTGTTTTGGCCTGATTCGTCATTTTATTCAGCTGCCTTCCTGAATTCCTTGACTTTTCGACTTGCTCTTCATTTCGGTGTCTTTGCTGTGTTCCGTTTTTTGTCTGGAACTCACACTGACACTGTTTTGAAGGTTGCAGTTGTTTTGAAAATTGAGTTTGTCAAGGTTCTGCTGCACTCACCACGATTTTCCTGCCACGTGAGTTTTATTTTTATTTTTGATTGTTTCTTTTTTTATTCGCTGCGTTCTTCACTTTAGTGTCTTCTATGTGTTTCATTTTTTGTTTGGAACACTATTTTGACACTGTTTTGAAGCTCTAAGGTTTTTGTTTTATAGTATGCTCGCCACCAGTCAACCTCTCAGTAACAAATGAGATCCTCATGTTAGACAAGACACCATCACGCAAAGAGAAACAATTCCATCAAACAGCCGTTCATAAAAAGAGGGATGCATTCTATCGAGCATACTATAAAATATAGAGCATACTATAAAATTATAGTATGCTCGATAGAAATGCATCCCTCTTTTTATGAACGGCTGTTTGATGGAATTGTTTCTCTTTGCGTGATGGTGTCTTGTCTAACATGAGGATCTCATTTGTTACTGAGAGGTTGACTGGTGGCGAGCATACTATAAAACAAAACCTTAGAGTTCAAAAACAGTGTCAAATAGTGTTTCAAACAAAAAATGAAACACATAGAAGACACTAAAGTGAAGAACGCAGCGAATAAAAAAAGAAACAATCAGAAATAAAAATAAAACTCACGTGGCAGGAAAAGTCGTGGTGAGTGCAGCAGAACCTTGACAAACTCAATTTTCAAAACAACTGCAACCTTCAAAACAGTGTCAGTGTGAGTTCCAGACAAAAAACGGAACACAGCAAAGACACCGAAATGAAGAGCAAGTCGAAAAGTCAAGGAATTCAGGAAGGCAGCTGAATAAAATGACGAATCAGGCCAAAACACCACGAAAACATAAAGAACTGTGAAACAACCACGCTATATGATTGTAAAACAACATTATCTTAGATAGGAATAACTCACCTCTATTGAAGGAAGCCTGGCGGAGTGGCAGAATACTAGTTTGAAACCGAATAATGCTGAAAACAGCTGATTCGGCCGTCAATACTCTGCGACATCCAGACGGAAGAGCATCCTAGTGACTGTAGCCATGGAGGAGAATTAGAGAAAGCAGAGACAAGGAGGCAGTGTTTTTGCACAATTGACACAGACATTTCACGGCAAACTTCCATAGGCACGCAACCGCCGACGCGCTCGCAATGTAGTCCGCAGCCCCGCCCTCCCCGACTTCGAGATATGGACTGTACATCAACCAATGTTTGGTAAAATCGAGAAAGAAAAACAGTGATTTTATGAAGTTACTTCAGGACGAAAAAGCTGCATTTTACGAAAAAAAAAACAGGCAAAAAAGTGCGAGACCAGGCTGAAACATTCACTTCGCCGCCAACAGCTCTGGTCACACTCCATCTATGTGCTGCGCATCCGAGTCAAAGCGGCACGTTTTGAAAGAGAAACAGTTCAGAGAGTACAAAAAATTCAGATTCTAAGTGTCCATGTTCACCAGCGCACAGTTGCTACGATTCTTCAAGAAGAAATCGAGTTCTGCATGATGAGGAGTGGCGAAGCCTGGCACAGTAAAGGTAGTATCCAGCTCTTCTTTTGAGATACCAAACTGTTGCTGCCAACAAATTTTATGATACGTGCAAAAGCGACATTTATAATGCAACAGCCTAATATTCGTTAAATCTTCGTATAGCATACGTAAGGAAAAAGAACCGGGAGCTTTCGGTAAAATTGTTGCAGTACACTTCTAACTACTGGAATATAGCTCAACAACTTCTTTCTTCACGAGGCGTTTGAAAAGTAGAAAAGCAGGGTAGACAGGAGCCACTTTTGATTGAAGATGAATATAGATCCAAGCTCGACACTTGAAAGCTGTACCGCTTCAAGTTAGTTCGTGGCGTTGCATATAAAATCTTCCCCGATCTAAACCTCTAATGTAACGTTTTTGAGGTTTGACCCTTCCATGAAATTTGGATGCATCAACTCCTGGCAATATCTGAGAATGTTTTGAATACCACACAACATCGTAAACTTTTCTGCGGGAATTTAAGCTGTATAATTTGAAAACATCGATTTCTGCGAGTAGGATCAGGTAAATTGGAATAGGAGGCCATCCTGGACTCAACGACTAATTTCCTCGTGAAATTATCTTGAATTCTCTCAAGTAACTGGACATTTTTTGTTATGAGGGCAGAATACTGATGAGCCACGCAGAATACACATGTACTACAAGCAATGATCTTGAAGCGCCGAAGTTCGCACATCCTGTTATCAGAAGCTGTATTGGCTACGAACCACGGACTTAACACAAGTGTATTCCTGCGGAAGCACAACTTTTGAATGGCTCAGCGCAGCGGGAGACTCCTGATAAGCAAACATTCGCGTTCACCAAAACACTTGACAGTTTCATGTGATTGCAAAGTGAGGCTCCTTTTGTATTCGAACAGGGCTCACATAATCTGTACATATTCTCAGGAAGAAACAGAAACGTTTAGGTTAATCAGGTGGGAATCAGAAGATAGGAATTATGTACTTTTGACCTCCATACCAGCACTGACCGTAGGCAGTCCAATAGCCTCCAGCTGCCATGACTAACGCTGCATTACGTTGGACGTACCATTCAAGTAAGAGCCCTATATGCCTGAAAAATTTGCCTTGAAAAGTCTTGAAATAAAATTATTGATCAACAATAAGCGAAACAATCGGTGGACCATGTGCAACCTGAATAATAGGCACTTCAATTATGTTACGGTTCCAAGCGGAAGCCACATGTACGACATAATCCGAAGCAAATAGACAACAATTTTTACTTTTGACTAAGGAAAATTTCAGAGTTTGATTCCTAGTCTAGTTTCTCTTGTTTAATCCTTTTTTGACGACAATGCGGTGCTCGTGGGACCACGCCTCTTTTTGGCGCGCCCAACTCTCGCACAAAATGGGGCAAAATTGTCCCTAAAAGCAGTTTTTCTATCAAAATTTTGACTATGACAATAAACAAAATATGACTGCAGTCTTAAGCTTTATGATCATGTATTGTTGGAATTAGAAGTGGAAGTTTGGAAAGAAATCTCGGATTTCAAAGGGATGGTGTTTGAAAACTCTAGAAGTTCAAATGTACAGTAGAATTTTTGATATAGTTCAAACTCCTCTTTGTGTCTTAAGACTGTGAAAAGACGTAGAGGTCCTGATCTGTAATTCACCTTAAGCTTAATAATGTAAACACTAGTTAATACATCGCCGAGCGAAGTGCCATATCCTAAAATTTCATATAAATTAGCTAGTAACAAACATTTCTGCAAAATATGCTAAACATAGGCGTGACGGAGCTTGCTTATAATTACTGATATGTTGAAAATGTTCCAGATGGGTGATGAAGAAAATTTTAGAGTGGCGTCAACCGGTGAGTGCCATTGTCGCCAAAGGATTAACATCTTGTAGTACATGCACTAATTCCATTAACTGGAGTTGACCACTAATCCAGTCTTAACGTTGTCAACTTGAAATCAAATCATAATTTTAAATCATAATTGCCGATTCAGCTTGGTAAAGAATTAATGATCAAGTAAACTCTACTAGTCCGTTCCCAAGGATCCATAAGATCTGGCTCGGATGAATACCTAGACCAGGGTGAATATCGCTTGAGGATTCCTCAACGGCACGTCGAGGATTCTCTGCCCGATCAGACACGATCTCTCGCGCGGACATTCACACTCGCCATGCGTGCCGTCTGTGCTCTCCGCGCGGATGTTCACTCTCGGCACTACTCTCGCATGGTAGAGAGCTATGGTCGAGGAAATCCTCGACCGTTATTCACCCTGGCCTAGACTACAACAGACGGCTGGGTGTGTCGGCGGTATGATGAGCTGTTCTTAGAGTTACTGGCTGCAATCATATCGGGCAGAGAGAGGGAGGGAGGCAAATGATTACGCATAAAACTGAAAGCGATGAATGGCTTTGTAGGCTGCAGATTGACCTGAGGGTAGATCTATGTTCAAATTGACAAACTTAATCATTCGACTGAATCAAGTCGTTCCCTGTTGCGAGATACGGAAATTATGAGGAACTAATGGAATGAAGCTTTAAATCGAAAAATAGAAACAAACCCGTATCAAAAATGCCCCATAGCCGACAGGATCCGTGGTAGGCATGGAGACGCTTATCATGGTGCCATGAATTGACTATGAAATCTCAAAGAAAAGAAACAAGTATAAAAACACCTTTCCTCATTTCAGCTTATGCCTCTTCATGAGCAAATCAAATACAAATTCAACTTCGGAAGCAATATTTCGGTCACAATTGAAACGGATTCACTGGAGAATGAGGTTGAGTCGTGGATCCAAGATGGCGATCAAATGCAGAAATTCTGGAACAGCTCAAGGACTAAAAGCAAGGCATTCGAACAGTATGATGAACCAGAGGCTCCGCTGAGTGCCATCATTAAAAGCTTCGCCGATATCGTGGGTTTCTACTTTGATTTGGCCTTCTCGATTTGAGAGCAACATTTCAGATTGAGAACGACAATCAGCATCCATCAACCGTAATGCTCAAGAAGCAGGTGGTGCTACTCACCGATTACATACCAGTCAACGTCACAGAAGCTATGAATACCATCACCAGTGTAGGTTTGGTGCCTCTCATAAATAAAGCAATGAGGGAAACTTTGATTTCAGGCGAACGAACAGAAGCTTGGGCTATTTCCACGAGCTAAACCTTACAGCTATCAGCCGCGCTGTTAACTTTCCTGTGTATTCTAGCGCCAACGACATTATCTCGGCCAATGTACGATGGAATTTCCAGAAAACCCTTGATTTTGGTTAGCCCCTTCTCTTCCAATTCACAAATGCTTTCTTAGGATTCTAATCTTCTTTTCCAGAGTTTCCCAAGTCGGTATATCAGGGCAAACCCAGCAATCGCGAAAAGCTATTCATGATGGGATTCGATGCAGGAACGGTCTTACAGGTTATGAAAAGCACTGCAGCAAGCGAACTATGCAGTCTTCCCTCCAATAAAATGCTCAGTGATTTTCTGGTGCTAAAATTTGCCCATAATGGCTCTGCACATGGTTCGTTGTTTTTGATCAGTTAACGAGTGATCACGATGGGTTTCCTCAAAAGTTATGTTCAGATCTAACAATTCCATTTCTCGGAGACCGAACTACCAATTTTGCTCAACATTGCATCGAAAACATCGACGAACAGTGTGAGTTGCTCACGAAGTAAGGTTTACGAGCTCAGTCAAAGCAACAACCCCAGATCCAGTTGGTGGGGTAGCAGCGGTCCACAGTGAGATTGTGGTTACCGAATTGAGTGAAAATGAAAAAAAGACCGAAAGAAGGATGGATGAAGCCATTAACAAGTGCTTCCTCTCTTTCCCCTTGAATTGAGGGTAGGGGCGCGTCCGGACGAATCTATTTCAAATTGTCGAAGGCTGTCCACGGTGCTCTCTGCCGTTTTCTAGTCTCCCTTCATGTCGTTGTCCGTGTTTCATCACGTTCAATATCGTTCGTCGCGCCCTACATCCCGGGCTTGATTAAACGTCACATCTATATTCTGTTTAGTAACTCCCAAGCCCCGTCAAATCTTAACCTGCCATAACGGACGCGTACGCCACCCGGTGCGCACGATATATTGTCTTTTGTCTCATATGTTCCATGTTACTACACGTGCTCTGATAATACCCCGATGACTCTCCAGACAATGCTGGATATCAACATAATCTATCAGTGTGCCAGCTTGGCAGGGACCTGGACGGCTGCATTTTTGACAAACCTACAATAAATTTTGTCTTAATTTACATAAAGCTTACTATTTGATGGATGGCTTACAGATGGTTCACTCGTCCCGAGACCCCTTCCCCTAAATATAGCCACATCCTTGCTCGGGGTTGTTGTTCCGCATTTTTCCTTACTACTTTAGCCCCGTCTTACCCTGCTGTTCGCATAAGCCTACATAAACCCTACCCTGGGTGGCGGCGTGCGCCACATGGTGGCGCACGCGAAAATACACTGGCCGTCCGTTATGGGTTAAATTCACCTCCATCAGTCTGAACGTTCTTCAAGAGCTGTGTCTTTGCTTGAGTGATCCGTAGCCCCATCTCGTTCTGAGTGTTCACTGTAAAATTGCAGTCTTATACTTTTCTGGGAGACTATTCACGAGTCCCTTCATTTAATAGTTTTTGGGAAAAAAGTGCTGTTAAGTTCAAAATTGACCCTTCATACCAGTTATCAAAGGTATTGCTGAAGTCGGTTTGTTGGGAAGATATCTGCGTCGAAGTAAATGGCGACGGAAATTTCGACCCACCCGAGGACTCAGTCGATTTCTCCTATGGCATTGCTGAAAACCTCGGAATGCCACTAACGCATCCATTGCGTGAAGGAAATATGAACTAATGCAGTCTGTGTCAACTTTTCCCATTTCATACGTGCCACACATTCACCCTCTGCTCAGAGCCGTAGAGGCGTTTCAAAGGTTATGTTTACGGTAGCTTGCTGGTGCCTAACGATTACTGTGTTCCAATCGTAGTCACTAGATAGTGATAGTGCAAATACATGTGCTTAACTAGAATTTGCTTCATGCGGGATCCTTTAAAATAGCTGCTTGTTCAAATCGAAGGGGTTATACGTAGTGTCGGTAGACAGCCTGAGTCAAATACTTGGACTGAAGCCGACCTCTGGAGAAGGCAATAGAGACGTGATTCCACCTCACCTCCTTTTAATCGACTACTGAATCAAGCTGAAATTTGCAGTGGGCGTCGACAGTGGAGATGGTTGTGACGACGCGGTCATTGAAGTTCTTGACGAGTTTGTCAACAGTCTTCGAGACAGCCAGAATTTTTCCTCTCTTCTCATAACGGACACAAAATGTGCTGCTCAGAGGATTGCCAATTTCAGCGAGCCGCTCGCTGGCGAAGTGAGACTTTCTTTTTGTAATCGAAACTATGAAGAACTAATACCTTTTCAGAGTATGGTGCGACTAATCTCTTCGCAGAACCTGAATGAGGTGTTCGACGAGCTCACGCTCCCACTTTTCACGCATGGCTATCTAAACTCAAGTTTGAATAGGCAGATCGTGCTTAATACTGCCTATTATCTCGGCAACTTTTCCACATCATGCAGATCTGAAATGCCACATGGTACGTTTACGTTGCAGGGAAACTG